TACAAATGGAAGTGGAATGCGTACCGCATCCCAAAAAGGGTTGATCAACGGCAAATGCTTTTACGCTTTATTTACTCTACAGGATCTGCACCTAACGTAGGGAAGACCTCGAGAAAATCAATACACTTGTGATTTTTGGCATTATTGATTATTTCATGCCGCATAAATGATACTAAGTCTGCATTGCAGACGTACCTTGCTGCCGGATACAAAAGCACATAAGAAACACACACCCGAATAATAATTTTTTTTCTTAAATTTTTTTCTTTGGTAGTAAGAGCCTTTGAAATACGGTAGGTTCAGTCAAAGGTAGCGAACATTATGGTTAAAAAAGGTGCGGTTTTGATGAAGTCATTCATCGTTGTTGGTCAAGAAGCGATCAACCACGCCCCCCCCCCCCACAGCGCGGAGGGGTCTAGTCCATCTGTGACGTCACTGCGGCCCGTCGCCAGCCATCGCAGTCACTGCCTTTAAGAGCATTTCTGTGGATGATCTTATGCGGGAGGAAAATCAAGATTTTCACTGTAACAGAAACCGATTCCTCAACCCTCAACTTTGTAACTTTACCAATATTTAGCTTTGTAGTGATAATTTGTGGTGAAGCCATAAAAACCTTCCCAAAGCTGATGTTTTCCAAGCCCAGGTTTTTGCCCAGTTATTGTAGTCCTAATAGTGCGTGTTTCAAATCGTAATAGATTGTTGAAGCTGATGCTTGGCCATTTTCTCGTGTACGTGTCCAAGACCGTGTCCTTGTTACGCATTTGGTTTGTGGCCGGATGAACCTGTGTCATCGTTGGATTGCATTCGATAACCACATAATAATTTTCTACACCTGTCGGCGCTCTCTCACTAACCTTGTGCTTCCCTAAAACAGTGCCCACATACATAATAGATCATGAGTGCGTCCGGACCCAAGCCCTCAAATATATTTCGGACTCAGTCTTTTGCTTCACCTTTGGCACTCAAGTTGGGTTAGATCGGGTGTCATTTCGGACTCTGAGAACTCAAAATTTCATACTGTTGACTTGGAAGAGGGATAGAAGGATTTGCGCTCGGCTTCATACTAAAAGTAAACGGGAGACGAACTTGTCTGTTTAAAAACCTCTTTCCGTCGGGAAATAAGCGTTCGCAGATTATTCACTTTGTGCCCGTGATTGATACCGTTGCACTAGAAGGCCCTCTCCATATTCCTTCAAATAGGGCATAGAGAGTGGTTAGTACCAGGTAAGGCTTCACATTACTACTTATCCTAGTTGTCACTGTTCTACCCTGGCTTGCTTTCGCTTGGGTTTGGGCTTAATGTCAGTTCAAGGGCTTTCATTTCAAACTTCCTCTGTTAGGAAAAATATAGCAGGCTCTCAGGGTAGGAGGAAATTCAAGTGGCTTTCAAAGGCATTGAACACTATGGTTGGAGGGTGGAGCGGTTTTGATGAAGGTCATTAGACGTCATTGATGGACCGTACTTTTCAGCGTGACGGGATCCCTACCGACCGATAATCCACCAATCACATTTAATGACGTCATCAAAATCGCTCCACCCTTCGGGCATCGTGCCCACTGCCTTTAAGTGGACGTTTAGAGCGAGCGCTTACAGTTTTCTTTCATTTCTCCACTGGCTTTGAATCAGTAGCTGTTTTTGTTTTGCTGTGGTAGTGAAGCATTAGCCATTTTTTCCGAAGGGTTCAACATTCACCCCAATGAATGCCGACTATCGCAATGTGCCTCACATGCCTGTTCCCATTTCTGTCACTTCTTTCAGAATCCACGTGCCTGGGTTTTCTGTCTGGGAAATGGTTTCACTTTATTGTGTCTTTTTATGCTAATGATCACTGTGTGCTCATATTTCAGATAAACCCGTTATCAATGCGATAAGTGCGACACACACGCCCGCCTTCCTTCTTCAGTATTCTCGCCCTGTAGCTGTCAAAGTTCCTCATCATGCCGGCCGATACCTGTCCCTCAACGCAGTATGGCTCAGCGGTGAGAAATTGAGACGACGTGAAGAAGTAGTTGAAGGAAATGAGTTAATGTGTTGATGAATTCAGATGGGCTTTCTCTACATCTTCAATCTCATTGTTGGCACAGGAGCATTGGCATTACCGAAAGCCTTTCAGAATGCCGGCTATATTCTTAGCGTTGTACTCCTATTTGTCTCGGGCTTTGTAAGGTAAGGCTACTGAACTGCGTCTTATCAAATAGATGCCTATCTGAGATCAAATTCTAGTTACATAGCAGCAACCTTCGTTATTGAATCGCTTTGCGTAGCAAACGCTGTAAATGCTCGAAAGTGTAAGGAAGAAGAGAAGCAGTCTAGACAATTTGATGGTGAGCTGTTCGAATTTTTCACGTTAGCCGTCGAAATTTCCAAGTTTCCATAGAGTTATAATCCCTATGTGAGATATTTCATCCCTCATGTTTTTCTTATCATAGTTACATTTTCTCTCTTAAAGGCACGGGTCGTGATCGCGTCTGTATTGCTAATATTTTGCTGAAAGTAACACAAGAAATGCGAAAAGGAAACGTTAGTGGGAGAAAAAGCAAAAAGCACCATAGAAAGCACTGAATTTCTCTTGTGAGGTTGACCGTAGTACGACGGAGAGACAGCGCTGCGAGGAGAGGGAAAACGCGAGAGAGCACGTCGTACGCGAGAGGGCGCAGACGCCACGTATGCTGCGATTGATAAGAATGGCAGCGGTCGCAGCGGTCAAGCCAAGGCAACAGCTCCTTTTTAGCGCACTTTCAAGACAGTACCACCACCCTGGCGATTGGAGGTCATGCTACCTCACTTGAATAGAGTTTCTCTAGGGGTTTAATCGCGACCCGTGCCTTCGAGCTACATGCTTACGAGGTGCCGACTCACAGAGTGTCTTTTTGGCTCATACCCGTCGTGACATGCTTCTTTCAATCCATTCCCAATCAGGGTCAACCGTTCCTTCGAACTACTTATACGGGGTCGCATTTGCGATTTGGGTAGGTAATGGGTTGCGTTAGGAGATGACTAGGTTTACCAGTAGTCGGTGGAGGGGATCGTTTTTGACGGGTTTTGGATGATTCAGGCGAAAACATCGGAAGAGCGTGATAGGCAAAAGTAGAACGTTCGCCTTCACTTTTGACGTATTATGTCGGTCCATAATTTTTGGGCCTCCTTTTAGTTCATGCCATGGAAATTCCTACAAAAATCTTGGAGGCTCGAAGCAAGGCTTGCTTCGAGGCATCCCACTCAACCAGAGAAATAGCGAACCCATTGGCACGCTGCCTTTCTGGCTATGACCAGTAGTACTGGAACCTATTTTAGTATTTCGTTTACTATGAGTACCTACTAGGGTCTTCCGAAGCTGAGACGAGCAAAGGTCTAACCTTTGAATGTACGCTTTCTCAAACCACGGTGCATCGCTGCTACAGACTTTGGGGTTGGTTACAGATGTGCCGTTGTCGCTGCTCGAAAATGCGCGAAAATGACGCTAGGGTCTTACAAAGTCAGCATTTGGCGACTAATCTTAGCATTTGGACGAGTTACTCGCGCACACCCCATGACACGCAACGTGGATTACGGCGTAGCGGCTAATTCAAATACGCGCGGGTTAGTTGAGCCGTGGAGCAGGCAAGTTCGTACAACTCGTCTGGCCCCGCCCCTTCCTTATTTCAAGGGAATCTTGTTTAGGGCTTCATCGACGGTTTTCTTTGCTTCTTTTTTCATTTTTAGTCAATTCGGCATTCACAACTTCATTATCTATCGCTGTGGTCCCAAAACTTCGATCTGGGGGTGTCGCTTAAAAGGAAGAGATCCACGTTTTGGGCGTCCTGTTACTCTCAGTGACGAAGCTCTGTTGACGCTGTTGGGAAAGAATTTGAATAGGTTACACCTTCACCAAACTCTTGTCTACTAATGGCTCTGTCAATGCGAAAGTTTATTATGAACAGCTTGATCGCGACAAATCCATGATAAAAGGAAAGCAAGAGAAAATCTCTTTTCTATCGACCCAATGTGAAGGAAACTCGTAAAAATTTTAAGACTCAAGCAGGCAGTTCTTTCACTCCCGCCTTACACCTCTAGCCTGTTTTGAATAAATGACCATTGTTCCTATCTCTAATCCACTTCCTGAAGAAGAAACCTTACACTAACCGATACGTTCAATGACATCAAATTTTTCTTCTATCAGGAGTCGATGGTTTTTCACAAAGGGGAGTGGACTGCTGCCCACGCATTATGCATCCGTTGGACAAACATATCGAAAACTGAAGAAAGAAATGAAGACGACCCC